AACTCTTGAGCCACGGTCGCCCCACGTATTAAAGAAATATGAGTAGGAAAAGCCATACATCTACAGAAAATCTAGTTTCAATACCAAAAATGTTTGCCCCCTTTCATATTTAACAAAACTGTCTCTCTCTTTGCAGGCCAATTGTGGCCCCTGAAGTAAAATCAGCTGTTATACTATACCATACATACTGCAGCGCTGCTGGCATTTCAGATGGAGTTAATAAAGTACTGTACGAAGATATGTTTAAATGTTAAAGCTTTAATCTAAAGCACTTTAGGTGGTCAGTAAGAATATTCCCTCTGAAACATGAACGGTATGGGTGTCAAGCATGCACAGGCATCACTGGCAGACTGTCTCCGGCCATTTCCATGGAATCCCACAGAATCCTGGAGCTGAGCTCGCAAAGTGTCGGCGGCCTCAAAAGCCAATCCCTGCTGAATTCTAGACTGGGAACTGTTGCAGCCACACATCACTTGAGTAGGATAAAATGTTTCAGCACAGATTATCAGCAGTGAGGTTTTGGAGTCTCAACCTAAACCAAAGGAGCGACCCCCTCAGGTAAAATTCAACATTTCATAACCTCTTTGTACCAAAAGGTTTATCAGTTGGCGGCTCCTTAGAGACAAAGTGCTGCCACCCCTGCTGCTACGTCAATCCGTACATTCCACACTCCATGAGGAAGGAAACAGAAATCGGCTTAGGAGCAGTGCCTACCATGAGCACTCCAGGTACTCGTTCACTGCTCCCTCCTCCCCCCAAAAAGTATAAAGAAGACATTTTTTTCTCCACACTGTAAGCTGTGTGATGGCCAACAATGTTCTCCATGTTCACATTTATGCTCTTTGCCTCTCCTCAACACCTTACAGCTTCTGTGATGGGCAGGCCAGAAGACAGTTGCCTTCCTGGGATACTTCACTCACTTTTATGTTTTCAATACACAAAAAACAAACTAAGGAAAAGATATTTATTGCATTGTTATCAATTCATGGAGGACCTTTGTGTTGGAGCACATATATAATGGACTAAAATACTCAATAGAAGGCTTTTGTGGGTGTTATGAGTCAGGAGTTGTACCTTAAATAGGGTATTGACCTCGGAGCTGTCAGCCTCCAGCATGCACAGTTTCCCTCTCAGCATTTCCTGTGACTTTTCATCTGCAGGAAGATGGTCTGGACCCCTGACCACATCCAGCAGTACAGGAAGAGCTAAACACACAACACACACTTAATATAGACGCGTCAGACAAGACTATGAGTGAATCAACTCTAATGTGCTGATTTCATAGCTTTCCTGTCCTGACTGGATAACCTAGATTGTAATGAAAATAAAATCAGCTAAAAAAATGTATCTGTTGACCAATTATTTCATATTTTATTAAATGAGTTTATGCCTCCTTGAATTTACATATATGGCTGTGTGGTGTCTGTTAAAGACATACCATACAACATGTTTTCAACCACGTATAAAAACAAGGGTAAACAGCACAAAATGAATAATTAGGAAAATACAGTGTTATAAATAAAAGCCATTAATAATCTCCATATCCAAGATGGTGCAGCTGATAGCAGCCTGAATACTGCTCAGTGCTACTTTTCCTGCTTGTGTTTATCTGTTCAGTTTTCAGCTCTTCCTTCCTGTTCACACATACATCAACAAAGTAATCAGGTTGTTTTTTTTTTTAAATAAAACTTTACCCTGTCTTTCATCCATCTGGAGAATTCTGCAAAACTATTAGTTGGAGCAGCTCTCAACAGGATTAGGAGATGCCTTCCGATCGTACATTGGCCGGTCCATGCTTCTTTCATTCCACCCAGCGAATGTTCAGCCCTGTGCCTCAATGATGTCTGGCTGGGTGAACATGTCCCCAACAGCTCACTATATCTACCAGGCTTTCAACTGCAATACAGAGCTTTCTCGAAAAGTGAAGGGAGGCGCAATCATTTCCATATAAACTGTTTCCATATACGCTTCAACCTACAAATAGGTTTCCGGCCAAATTCCAAAACTGAACCCAAGGAGATCTCATAAAATGAGTGCTTAGTTAGCTTTGATCTGGTATGGCTAAAACCTCTATTAGGCTTCTATTACAATAGAAGATCAATAGAAGATCAACTCACATGGGTTAAAATACAAACTGCCAGTGAGTTCACTGTAAATAAAATCATCCAATGATGAGCTAATGATGAAACTAAGTGTCTCTCTCACAGTTTAATAAGTGACTGAAGAGGAACTTGTGGGTTCAAGGTATAAACCACTTTAAAGTCTTTCATAGTTTTCTACTGAGGTCACTTCAGTTTTACAGGTTAGATTATTTCCTGTAATACTCAGGGATCAAAGTACCACTAAAAGCAATATGATTTGTTAGGGTGATTTGTCTTCCTCCTAAAATGTTTTATCATGCATTAAAAAAAAAAAAAAACACATAATAGATCATGGGGAAACTTGAAACCTGGACCCTCCGTAGCCGCTTACCAAGAACACCATGGCAGCGGTGATCAGTGAGATGACTATAAGATGAACAGCCACAAGGAGCAGTACCCACCATGGAGAAAGAGACTAGAGGCCAAGATCAAGGTAGCACAACTAATAGAGTTGCAGAAAGATGCCTAAGAAGCACAGAAAACTGTCTACACCTGAGGCCTTGAAGACACCCAAGCAAAGACTACCAGCCTTGGACAGCTGCTTGAAGAGGTATACGCAGAGAAGTAGAAGGCAGGAAAATAAACCATCTATTCTGCACAGAACCATCCAAGGTGTACCCTCAGTAGGGAACAATATGAGAACAGCACCACCAAGGCTGGAGACGGAGCAGCACTGGAAAAGATTACGGGAGAAGGATGCAAACCATAATAACAATGCTCAGTGGCTAGTGGATCTAAGAGCAGACCACAGCAACCTCCCTGAACAGGATCCAGTAACCATCATAGTGGCAGATATCCAGCTCGTAGTCAATGAGAGACACCCAGAATGGCTAACCAAAGGTCCAAGATTCCTGATCCACAGGGAACCCCAGAAATAACCGGTCCCATCCAACTACCGGCCAATAACCTCCCTCAGTACCACGTGGAAGTTCCTGTCAGGCAGGTTTAAGAAAAACAGGCACATGGCTCAATACATAAGCAGGGAAGAGAAACGAATTGGCAGGAATACCAGAGAACCGAAACACCAGGTACTGATGAGCAAGAGCAAGACTGTAAGACTAGGCTGACCAACCTGTGCACTGCCTGGATTGATTACAAGAAGGCTCATGACTCAATGCCCCACAGCTGGATACTGGAATGCCTAGAATTGTCCAAGAACAACAGGACCTTAAAAGCCTTCATCAGGAAGTCGATGGGGATGGACATTAGAGACCAACTTCAAGCCCATAGCACAAGTGTAGGGTCTATCAAGGAGATGCCCTGTCCCCACTACTGTTCTGGATAGGCCTGAACCCCCTCGGTGAGATCATTGAAAAGAGTGGCTATGGTTACCGACTATGGATGGAACAATCCTGTACATGGACATCAAGCTGTATGCCAAGAGTGAACGAGACATCGATCACACGAGTACCTCAGGAAGATGGCCATGGACAGCTGCGTGCTCAGTGAATGCCTCAAGCAGCAGAAGCCCAATAAAGAGGAGCAAAAGGAGGTACCATCGTGGAAGGACAGGCCCCTGCACGGTATGTAGCACCGGCAGATAAAGGAAGTGGCTGACATCCAGAAATCCTACCAGTGGCTGGACAAAGCTGGACAGCACAGAGGCATTAATCATGGCAGCACAGGAACAAGCTCTGAGCACAAGATCCATAGAGGCTGGGGCAAAATCACCAGGCAAAATCTCAGGTGCAGGCTGTGTAAAAATGCTCTGAGATAATACATCACATAACAGCAGGGTGCAAGACGCACAGAAACAGAAACATCTGTGCCGAATATGGCCTGGTAGTCTCAAGGTCAAATCGGGAGAGTAGGGTGGTCGAGAATTGCCGAACTAAGGCTACGTTCACACTGCAGGCGAAAGCGCATTAAATCCGATTTTTTTGACCCTATGCGACCCATATCCGATCATGGTATGACAGTGTGAACGGCACAAATCCGATATTTTCAAATCCGACCTGGGTCACTTTCGTATGTGGTACTGAATCCGATACATATCCGATGTTTTAGAAAGCGAAAGCTGTTTGAACGGTCATGTCGCATTAAATCCGTCTTTTACGTCACTGACACAAGACAGACAGCAATTATCAGCTCCGGAGAAGACATCGCGAATGCTTCCTGGCCATCCGGTGAAACTGCTGGGAAGACAACGTTGGAGAAACGTGAACATTTTATTTGTACTGTATAATCTGCAGATTCTGACAGAAATCTGCAACTATCCTTTGAAGCACCGCTCCTCTCTAAAAAAAAAAATCGGATTTGATCAAAAAATCGGAATTGAGCATTAAGACCTGCAGTGTGAACGTAGCCTAAGATCCTGTGGGACTTCCAGATACAGACGGCCAAAATGGTGGCTAAACAACTGGACATAGTGGTGGTAGACAAACAGAAGAAGACAGCTGTAGTGATAGACGCAGTGATACCAAATGACAAAAAAATCAGGAAGAAGGAACACAAGAAGCTGGAGAAGTGCCAAGGGCTCAGAGAAGAGCTCGAGAAGATGTGGAGGGTGAAGGTAAACATGGACCCAGTGGTAATCGGAGCACTAGGTGTAGTGACCCCCAAGCTAGGCGAGTGGCTCAAGCAAATCCCAGGAACAACATCGGAGATATCTTTCCAGAAGAGTGCAGTCCTAGGAAGAGCTAAGAAACTGCGCTGGACCCTCAAACTCCCAGGGCTCTGTAAGAGGACCCGAGCTTGAAGAAGAAAATGTCGCCTGCAGGGGTGGGCAGGGAATTTTGTATATAGTCAGCCACTGTTTACCTATTAGCAATGTGACTGTGCATCAAGGTTTTACCAGGACCTTTACCAAGGCTGTCTAGCCTCTAGTACCTGTTAATGGCTATTTTGTAATGACCATATGAGCTACACCTGACCCAGACAGGCCTTCTCAGCTCCAAATCTCAGAGTTTGCTGAATGAAACAATAGATAGGTGAGCCTTAGTCCCAAGTGGAATTCTTACAGGAGGGGAAAACGTCATTGACAATGCAGTGATGATGTGATATTAAAAAATAGCCATTAACATGCGAGTTATTCTAGTAGTTCTTAAGAAGATAGAAGACCTACTAACCAGTATAAGAATAGTAAACTACTCTGATTCAGCTCTACTTTGATCACATCATAGATAAGCAACTTCATCACTGATACAGCAACACTCACGTTTACTTGTAGCATTAACCAATCATCTGTCAAGAAAGTACTTACTGTAGCTTGACTTGCATCGTAACACTGAAAATTTTGGGGGAAAAAACGTGTGATAGTTGTGATAGTCTCTAGTAACGCTCTTGAAATGTGGAATTTCCAAGTATTTCAATGAATGTTCATAAATGGTGAGCAATCACCAATTTTATATATTATATATATAATTAGTTAAAGATGGTTTGACAGCATTAAATTGGAATTGATAAACTCACCTATTGGGAGGTTTTCCTCATACGCTGACAGAGTTCCCTTCAGACTCACAGCATCTCCAGACAAACCATGCACTGCTAAAAACATAAAGTGTTATCTGTTTTTACATTTTACCATTATACAATCATTTGTTAATAACCTGTGAAAGATAAAGCATAATTACAGATGTGCAAATGATATCTAAAATACAGAAGACCTTTACAGTTGGATTTATCTGATTATTTGGTCAGTCACGCAAAATTAATTTGTTAAACTTTATATTTAACCAAAATATTTAATGAACAATTGAAGTTGTTTGCTCAAAGTAATTAAATGTTCAGCTGTCGATTAATATTGTGAAATAGCAAACAACTGTTTATTTAATAAAATGGTTGAAGTTTGCATAATAAGTCTCGAAATAACTGAATATAACTAAATACAATACTCAATTACTAAATTACTCTACAAATATCCAGTGACTCTTTTCAATAATTTTTATTAGTTGCTATGGTTAGGACTTTTGCACACAAAACGTTTAAAATGTGGTGTTTTGTTCTACATGTAGCTACCTAACAGTTCATTCAAGTAAGCCTGCAAATCCTGCACATGAAACATTAGTTGAATAATCAACTAGCCAACAGAACTTTAGCACCACTCTTTTAGCGTTATTTTAAACCATTTTTGGTGGAAAAAATAATCACTGAATGCAGTTGGACACAAAATGTCTGTGTAGGTTCTCAGTCATCCAGGTTCTGGTTATCTAAGGAGGAAGGGAACGCGACTGGACTTCTTTAAGCTCCCTGAAGAAATGGTGAAGATGTATTTAAATGGAACAACACTGTCCTTCCTTATGTAGCAGGTAGAAACTCATCAAACCTCTGCTTATAATGACCCACAGCCTTTTTCACAGCTTGGCTCCTGTGAGGAGGCACATGACCAGTAGTGAGTCAACACCCTCAGGGACAACTCCCACTAGGGCTTAAATACCTGGGCTCTACCATTTAGTTTTAGAACTGAAGATGCTTCTGGGATGAGAGGTTGAATGCTTCATGTGACTGGACGTCTTTAGGAAACTGAAACGAGTCCTGTCGCTTTGCTTTCCAAGCTCGTTGGATTGGACACAAAATCCTTAAAAATAAAAGTACCTAAACCAACAGTACAATCCTGCTTTTATATGTTAATGTGTGACTTATTGCAATTTCATGATCTCATGTACAGTCAGCTACAGAAGGAAATTTTCTTCATTAGAACGCTACTTTTACTTCTAAATATATATATTTTTAGTATCTGAACTGAACTTTAACAAAGAACTTTTAACAGAATACGATAAACAGATATTTTTACTTAAGTCACACAGTCAGCTGGTTTAAAACAGATAATTTGCTTATATCAACAGAAAACAACAAAACTTGTAAAAATTGCTAAAGTTTCAGGCTTTCGCAGAATTACTGTGAAAAAACAATATAAAACGCATCTGCTAATTTGTAGTGAACAGCAGCATGAGAAGGATCTCACTCATTACCCATTCCGCTCGACCGCTGTAGTATCTCCGTCATATGCCGGTACTGCTGGACGTCAGTGGAAAGCTGTCTCCGGTACTTGTGGCTCCAAGAATCCCGCTCCGACCGGGCTGACATTTCCAAGGCAGCTGCGCAACGTCCTCTGCGACCAGTCAGCAGCGCAGCATCACATGCCTGTGCACGACGCACCTGGTAAACTCCCAGTGAGGGACACTGGCTCGCTTTTCCTTTTCAAAGTAAAAGTCTTCAAAAGTTTGACTTAGTGAGCCTGTAGGTCAATACGAACGAGTCCGAATTAACATACTACTACTAATAATAATAAATATAAATAAATATAAACAACTACTACTACTATAAATACTACTAATAAATAAATCCTTCTGATTTTACTGTAGAATTGGGTGCAAATGTCTTTTGTGTATGTGTTTGTGGTGTGTTTTATGGGTAATACAATAAACAGCATGTTGACCTTGATGTAAGCAAAGAGGGAGATCTTTGTTTCATTGTTTGCTTACTTCCCTTTTCTCATATTGTTATTATTTACATTTATAAATATATCACATATAAACATTTAAAATCTTTTTTCACTTGATGTCATATAAAACCTAATTAACGGTATATTATATTATTACATTTTTCAATCAACGTTTAACAAAGTATACTGATTATACCATGGCAACTTTTATTATGACGTTAAATGTGGATTATTTCCTGTGTTGTTTCGGTGAACTCTACACTGACGTACATAGTAGTGAAAAGGCTGTCGCTTTATTTCAGTTTTTCTTTTTATTATAAATGCTGCCACTTGTTTATCTGCACACCAATAACTAGAACAATTCAGTTACGTTTCTGTGATTGAACATGGAAAAGTTGTACAGTTAAAATTAAATTGCGTAGACTTCACGTTAATAATCACCCAGTGAGCAGCTGAGTCACATGATGTTATTAAATCACTCTTTGCTTTGTCCCCTACCTCTACCCCAAAGGATATGCATTTTTTGGAGATGAACACATTTATTCCAAACATTTTCCATCAACTTTTTCTCTCTGTTTGCTTGCACGTGGGTTTGACTTGAGTGAGTTTTTTCCCTCGTTAACATCCCAGGAAAAGACTCAGCACTTCCTTTCCTCCAGTCAGTTCCTCTGTCAGCTCAGAATTGCAGCCAACTAGCAGCAGCGTTGTAGAAACACAAGAACTGTCACAGTCATGAAATCACGACACATAAAGTCATACACATTCTGCAAGTCTTGCAAATGTACTGCCATATAATACTTCAGCTCTTTTTATTGTACTCACTAGTAGTCAGATAAAGCACTATGTCAGCAACATGTGACCCTTAAATTCTCTTTTATGGTAAACTGACTAGTTGTTACTCAAGCACTCAAAGCACCTTATGCAGCTAGTTTCATTCACGTGCAAGCAAACTGTCAAAGTGCTGTCTAACATTCATGCTACAATGAATGCAACACATCTGCAGCAACCTGGGTTGAGTATCTTGCCTGGAGCTGACTCACCAACCTTCCAATTAGCAGATCAGCTGCTCTGCCTCCTGAGCCACAGCTACCTCACAGACAGTTGGACAGATTTTGACTGGTATTTCTTTATTAAATGCCAATTAAAACAAGAATGACTTAAAAATGACAGCGAAATGATACGTGAATAAAATTAAAGGTGACCACAGAACACGCTTAGTTACAGTCGTGGTCAAAAGTTTACATACACTTGTAAAGAATATAAGATAATGGCTCTACCGAGGGTCCCGTTATTTCTAAAACTCTGATTTTTCTCTGATAGAGTGATTGGAACAGATACTTTGTCACAAAAACATTCATGAAGTTTGGTTCTTTTACGACTTTATTATGGGTTAACAGAAAAAGTGATCACATCTGCTGGGTCAAAATTATACATACAGCAGTGCTAATATTTGGTTACATGTCCCTTAGCCATTTTCACTTCAATTAGGCGCTTTTGGTAGCCATCCACAAGCTTCTGGTTGAATCTTTGACCACTCCTCTTGACAGAATTGGTGCAGTTCAGTTAAATTTGATGGCTTTCTGACATGGACTTGTTTCTTCAGCATTGTCCCCATGTTTTTAATGAGGTTTAAGTCAGGACTTTGGGAAGGCCATTCTAAAACCCTTATTCTAGCCTGATTTAGCCATTCCTTTACCACTTCTGATGTGTGTTTGGGGTCATTGTCCTGTTGGAACACCCAACTGCGCCCAAGACCCAACCTTCGTGCTGATGATTTTAGGTTATGTTGAAGAATGTGAAGGTAATCCTCCTTCTTCATTATCCCATTTACTCTCTGTAAAGCACCAGTTCCATTGGCAGCAAAACAGCCCCACAGCATAATACTCCCACCACCATGCTTGATTGTAGGCATGGTGTTCTTGGGGTTAAAGGCCTCACCTTTTCTCCTCCAAACATATTGCTGGGCATTGTGGCCAAAAAGCTCGATTTTTGTTTCGTCTGACCACAGAACTTTCCTCCAGAAGGTCTTATCTTTGTCCATGTGATCAGCAGCAAACTTCAGTCGAGCCTTAAGGTGCCGCTTTTGGAGCAGGGGCTTCCTTCTTGCACTGCAGCCTCTCAGTCCATGGAGACGCAAAACACGTTTGACTGTGGACAATGACACCTGTGTTCCAGCAGCTTCTAATTCTTGGCAGATCTGCCTTTTGGTGATTCTTGGTTGACTCTTTACCCCCCTGACCAATTTTCTCTCAGCAGCAGGTGATAGCTTGCGTTTTCCTCCTGATCTTGGCAGTGAAGAAACAGTGCCCTTCAATGCACTTCATACTTACAAACAATTGTTTGCACTGTTGCTCTTGGGACATGCAGCTGCTTTGAAAAGGCCCCAAGTGACTTTCCTGACTTGTTCAAGTCGATAGTTTGCTTTTTCAGATCCATGCTGAGCTCCTTTGACTTTCCCATTGTAGCGTTTGTGGGCGTTTGTATCCAGTGAGCCCTATTTAACTCGCCTAAGTGAAGTCACCAGCTGTAGTCACTCATAATCACTCACAAGAAGTTAAGAGGCCATGCTATGAAGCTCAGTTCACTGACAACTTTCTAAGTCACCAAAATTGCTATTTTGTGTTGCTGTATGTATAATCCTGTATTTGTTTTTATTGCTCCCACCGCAGACACATTTGGACGATGGGTGGACTGAACACTGTCTCGTGGTTTGTAGTGATCCATTTTGGTTCACTTGGGTTTTTCTCTCATTTCAAACTCATCAACTGTTTCAGATCAGAGTAAACAAACTATTTATGTGAAAATTCCCCTATGTTTTCTGATTTCATACTTTCGTACTCGTGCAGTATCTTTTTGTTTTCAGTCAGGTTTATCAACCTCTGTTTTTCCTGCTTTCCTTGTGTTTCTGTTTCTGGTTCAGTCTCATTTCTGTGTTTGTTTACTTTTCTGTCTTCTCAGTCAGTCATGTGTCCATGTTTGTCCAGGTCTCAGTGTTTGTTACTACTCGTTTTGTTTAGATAGTCCCTCATCTCGTGCTTGTTGTGTTTAGTTTTGCTTCCCCTTGTCTTATTAGTCTGATTCCATTCAGCTGTGTTCCCCGGTGTTTGGGGAGGTGTGCGTTTATTCTACGAGACTGTGTTGGGACTTTGTTGCCTCATCCTGTGTTGTTTTGTCCTCACTTACAGTTTGTGTTCCCTTAAGATTAGCTGAAGTTTGGTTCCCTAGTTTTATGTGCTGTCTTTCAGTTTGAACTCTTTTTTGAACGTAGATGATATTAAGGGTGTGTAGTTACTGCATTGCATTTGGGTAATCTCAGTATCTCACTGAACATGCCTCTGTACTGGCCAGCATGTCATGGAGTGGGTGGGAGGAATCATCTAGCATTGTTCTCGTCTTGGACAACATCCACCTCTCGTAACTGTAACTCTCTCTACTCCAACACGCTTCCCTTTATCGTCTGCAGTTAGTTCAAAATGCTGCTCACGGGTTCTAACAGGGACTAGAAAGTATGATCACATCACCCCAGTTCTAGCTAATTTACACTGGCTCCCTGTCAAATACCTTATACTCTAAAATTCTCTTGCTTACTTTTAAAATTTTAAACAATTTGGCATCCTGTTATCTGACTGAACTCCTCAGCTTGTTTAACCCCAGGACAGCACTAAGTTCATCTTGCCAGATGCTCTTAGAACAATCTAGATCGAAGTGAAGTCCAGAGGTGATCGGGCTTTTGTAATTGCAGCACCGACACTCTGAAACAACCTTCTGTAGTTCTGAGTCTATTCATTCCTTTAAATCGCGTCTTAAAACTCAACTTTTTACTTTGGCTTTTGAATCAAATTAGTTTAATCATCATCAGGTCTGTTTTTATGTCTGTCACCTTTGATTTTTGTTGGTGTTTGTTTGTTAACTTTTTTCCTTTGCATTGCCTTTTAATGTCTCGCTGATTTTTGCTGATTGTTAAGCACTTTGATCAACCCTGTTGTTTTAAAATGTGCTATATAAATAAATAAACCTTAAACCTCACGTACACCACCTTTAGAGAGTGCAGCTCCACCCCAAAATGTTACTGGCCTTGCAGATCAGTTTATTGAGTCTGTTGGCATCCCAACCCTCAACTACAGCATGCAACACCATTGAGGATGGCACTGGCTAAAAATCCCGAGCATTGTCTGACAGATGTTAAAATATTACATCTGCCACAGGAAATAGCGACAGCTCTGACCCTTCCTGTAGTGTGGAGTAGTATTTTCTTTTTTAACCTGGTCCAGTTTATTGTCATTGTGTACTCTGAGGTATTTATTATCCTTCACTGTGTCCACTTTGACCCCCTGAATTAAAACAGGTGTCACTGGTTTCCTGGTCCTTTTAAGATCCACATTTATTTCCTTGGTGTCTGCCGCACTGAGCTGCAGATGATTCTGTGTGCACCACATTATATGACTCCATCTCTTTACCCTGACCGATGCAACTAACCATCACAGAGTCAGCAGAGAACTTCTGAAAATGGCAGGACTCTGTGCAGTGGCTGAAGTCTGTGGTGTAGAAAGTCAATAGCTCCTTGTGGTGCCCCTCTGTTGCTGATAGTTTTTAAACCACAGTTTTTCTTTATCTAAATAACGCACTAGCATGTCAAGTTCTTTTAGCACTTCACTCTAGTTATACCGTCTATAATGCATTTACTATCAGTTTAACTCTTTGCTTCTCTCTCATACTTCCTTTCTGTAATTTTAAAACTATCCATTAATCCTTTAGATATTTTTTACAGGTAGGTCCACGTGTATTTGGACTCTCACACAAGTTGTTTTTTTAACTGTTTACTGAAACAAATTCCAATTATAGTTAAATAACAGACATAATCTGTAGACGCTCAGGTTTCATTTGAGGGTATCAGTACATTACACTACATACATTCAAATTAGATGAAGGTGTTATGATTCAATGAAATGTTGTGGTTTGTGATGCTGGCTGTTTTGACGTGTGGCTCCTCCCATTGGTGTATGTGTGTTTTTTGGATCTCCTCCCTCCAAGGCTGGCTGTGTGGGTGTGTCTGTGTATTGGCTGGTGAAACGGGTTAGAGAGCTTATTGGCTGATTCAAACAAGCTCTTGAAGTCTGGATTGGTTGATTGAATGGACAGCAGCCTCTTAACCTCCCTCGTCTGCTCCACACCCAACAAAGAGTTAGTTGTTTGTAGTTCTGAGCATCTGTGTAAGAAAGTCTTTTCGTACAGTGTGAGCTGTTTGTAATTACGATATCTTTGTGTTGGGCCGAAAGCATTTTTGTAAAGTCTTATTCATGTGTATACATTGAGCACTGCAGCAGTGAGTGAGAAGCCCTTTTTCTCTTTTTTTGTAGGAGCTTAGGTTAGACAATTGTCTTGTGTTTGCTTTTACTTTCTGAAGACGGAAGAAACCTTTCTGTTTGTTATTTTGACATTGTTCATATCTGAAGAATATAAACTGCTGATTAGCCCCTTTAGTTAGTGTGTTGCTGGCCTGTCGTGGAAGTCGTGGGAGTGGGGAGTCGCACCTGCATGTTGGGTCCCGGTTACCCCTGGGCCGGGTCGTAACAAAGGGTCGAGGAGTTTCAGCCCCTTAAAATGTGTCTACCAGATCAACTGCTCATTTGCACAAGTGCGAAGGTAACTCTACTTGGACAAACTGCCCAAAATGCGTTGACAGAAACATTTCAGTGATTTTGAGTCATTCTGCACTCCAGATGGATTAGGAGCTTCTGTATCATCATTTAATATTCACTAATGATATCCAAATCTTAAAAACACCCTCTCTAGGATGTTTATTGTCGGTTGACTCAGCCAAGTCAGTCAGAAATGACTCGACACAATCAAAGAATTTTATTTTGGAATATTTTTTGTTTTTAGTAATTCCTTCCTTGCTTTCCTTTCTTTCCATAGCAAATCATATTCTGTTTTATTTTTGATTGACATACTCTTAATTTAATGGCCCCATAATAAAGTATTATATACAAGCTAAATCTCAATCACTGATCCCGAGTTTCCTCTTCTTCATTTACGGCACCAACAAATTACTTTGGACATCATGAGTAGGACAGTATGTTGTTGCATGTCAATGCTGCTTTATTGATCGAGACTCACCAGCCCTTTTACTTGATAAACACTTCTACAAAATAGAAGTATGGGGCTGTGCTGCTTCCCGTCTGTTGTAATGAGGAACGTTAGGTTGCTAGCAAACAAAACAAAGGAGCTAACAGCGATACTGCAGAGTCAGAGGGAATATGGAGACTGCACAGAGACCTGCTATCTTCTGAAGTTTCCTGATGACTCTCATTGGTTTGATGCATCCGTGAGGGTGACGAGACAGAGTACTGAGCTGTGGTGGACTCCTTTGTCATGCGGTGTGAACAGAAACATCTGGAGATCAATGTGACAAAGATCAAGGAAATGATTGTGGACTTTAGGAGAACCAGGAAACCAGTGACCCCAGTTTCAATGCAGGGGGTCGATGTGAAAATAGTGAAGGACTATAAATATCTCAGAGCACACGGTGACAAGAAAATGAAGCTTATGCGTAATTTCAATAAGGAAGTTCTGTGGTCTCACATCTGTCTGATGTCACTCATGCTGTGTGATTAGTGTGGTATCATACATCATTTTTATAACTTATACAATTCTTCATTTAGCCCCACATAATTACTGGTGTTGTAATTTAAACTGGTCATATGTTTTCAGTCTCATTTTCCCTCTGGCTGTGCCATCAGCTGAGCTGCAACACCATGAGACACCTGTCTGTTTAGAGCTGATCCTTATCTGAAAACGAAGCTAAAGAAAAACATGCATTTTTATTTGCTGAGATGGCTGTAGTTGAATCACCAGTTTATTTCTGAATTGCTAAAACAACTCTCATTCTTCGAACTCATTTATTGAATCAACACATTACAAATAAACTCAATCAACACTGGCAATGTTTGCATATATTAAAGATAATTAGTTTCCACAATAACCATCGACTACCTGTGCCTATGACGAGTTTCCTGAATATAATAGTATTTGAGGAGATCGGTGGCAGAACTATGAGGTAAATGGGCGCTAATCTAATCGATGTGCGTCATTAAATATATTTATTTCGAAACCAAAAAGCCTGCTCATTGGAGCAACAGGTTCGCCAATAAACTGTATGATTTCGCAGGTCTTTCCTCCCCACTGCTGTCAGACTCCACAATAAAGACTTTTGCAGCTGATCAAACACACAAACCCACACATGTGCAATAAGACTGCTATATGTGCAATTCTTGTGCAATTCTTCTTCTGACCAAGTTGTATTTTTGTATTTTCCTACTCAGTTGTATATAGTATTTGTATTTCTATTTTATTCTATTGTATATAGTATTTTATTTTATTCTATTGTATTTTTATTGCATTCCAGTGTTTTCTAATTTCTGCTACATAACTTTGCACTTTTGCTGTAACAAAACAAATTTCCCACCTGTGGGACTAATAAAGGTCATCTTAAATTTAAATCGCGTTTTTTAATTTGAAATCAGAAAAGTCCCACTGAGAGTAAACGCAAGCTGCAGCAGCTCTGCGCTAACAAAGCAAGGCACACTGGCTGCGATGACGTTATGTTGACCACACAGATGTCCACGTTAACCTGACCAGCACAGGTTAACGTGGGCGTGATTCCTAAACAAGCAGCAGGTGTTAAACAGCTGTGTTGTCATCCGCGTGACGCACAGGGAGACGACCCGTCAGTGAAACCGTCCAATCGGCGGATGCAGCACGTGAAACACGGAGAATATGTAAACAAATCTAATCCGGTGTAAAAGTCATTTAACGTGAAACACCGGGAGCTACTGGCCAGCTCCACGAGCCACCATTTCTGTATTTAAAAAAAAAAGGTTTACGCTTTGTAATTACACGTCACCTTTCGTCACTTCCGCACCTGCGCAGTCGTCGTATACATTTAGCAAAGAACGGTCACAGAAAGGCAGAAAGAGAGAAAATATACTAACCTAACCGGAGGAAACGATTTTATGTCCTTAAGGATTAAAGCTATAAGAGCCGATAGACGCCGACTACAGCGGAGGAGTCAGAGCAGTGACGGGGACGGTAAACAACCGTCGATGTGCCTCTGATATCCGGACATACAAGTCATCTTTTTTTCCTGAGTAGGAAGAGCCGAGTCGCCGACAGAGAAACACATCCAGACTGAAACATGAATCCCGAATAGTGAGTTTCACATTAAACATAATGTTTAATTATTATTGTCTTCTTCCAGGAAGTATCATGTTTGGCTAGTTTTATGCTACATCATACCAGGCTGGTTGTACTAATGGAGAACGGCAGCTCACGGGCTTCTGTAAACAGGGTGCGAACAGCTTCTTTAATGTGTCAGCTTTCCCAGTGCGGTTTCTCCACACATCAACAAATACTTTGCTTGCTCGTGTCTCCCGTTTCCACCGTGACCGCGGACCTTTAACTACGACCCCCCCCAACAAAACAGTGCAGTGTAGAGAGAAACGCTAATGTAGTAAAAAAGAAAGAAACGCGGCTATTGTTCATTTCAGATACTAGAGCCAAAACGTGTAACGTTACCAGCTGGTGATTGGGCTGTACTGGCGTGTTATGGCTGACCTGTAGCCTGGGCGAACAGGCTCCGCCCACTGTTTCCCTTTTCTCCATGGAGACGGCCACAGTATGGAACACTCGACAAAAATACGTTTTTTGTCCCACTTACACTTAAACTTTACTATTTCCATATCCATACTTTCTAGATATATGTAAAGGCAGCTCATTTGTGTTGTTTGTGTTTCTTTGCTAAATAAAAACATAGTTTCCACACTTTAGTTCGAAATTCTTGAATGTCACACCATGAAATTTGTTACATTAATTACCCTGAATACCCATGTGTTCACCTCTATCTATCTATCTATCTATCTATCTATCTATCTATCTATAAACACACGTGATATAAATATTTATGTTTAAGGGATTATGACTGATTAATCGTACACTCATAATCTGCCTGTGCACTCAGCCTCTTTGGTTGACCACAGTGAGTCCTGTTAAACCGCTGTGTGTTCTTGGACCTGCACCTCAGTTTTAGGATGCTGTCAGTCTTCTTATAGCCAGGGCATCTTTATGTAGAGCAGCAATTCTTTTTATCATATTCCCAGACAGTTCTTTGCCATGAGGTGCTATGTTGAACTTCCAGTATGAGAGAGTGGGGGAGCAATAACACCAGTTTCTCACCTGAGACCTCGTAACATGACGCTGAGTAGGAATAAATAGCTAACTGGGCACAATTCAGACATTTTCACTTGAAGGTGTACTCACTTTTGTTGCCAGGTTTAGATGTTAATTGCTGTGTGTTGAGTTATTTTCAGCAGAGGTAAATTGACACTGTTATGCAAGCTGTACACTGACTGCTTTATATTGCATCACAGTGTCATAGCCTCAGTGTTGTCCCATGAAAAGATATTATAAAATATTTACAGAAATGTGAGGTTTGTACTCTCTTTTGTAAATATACATCCATTAGTATGTAATTACATTTTCTAACATTTTATACATTTTCATAGACTTAGAATTAATCCATTAGGTTTGTGGCAGTACACCAAAGGTAGAGGAGAGAGAACTTGTAGGCATCACAGGCTGTGGAGGCAAATTTAATTTCATGTTTGCACCTTCAGAGTCTCGATATTAAGGGTCATAGCTATGTTTTGTCATCTGAGAAGGGGTCCCCTTCACCTGGGATGTGAAAACACGATGCAAAGTAACAACCGGCATCTGAAAAAAGTGTCCTCTCTTTCTTCTCACTTTACGTCTCATCTTCTCTAACACACAGAACACTGAAGGCCTACATTCAGACTCAGAGTTGTTTTTTCTGCTGCAGCTATATGCAAATAAATTGGGAGGAGTAAAGGCCCCAGTATACTCACCATTAGGCACAGGAAGTGGCTGCAGTATTCTTCTGAATGATGGGTGTTGCCACTCAGACAATATTGGTATAAAAGTGCTAACGTATAAGGGGAAGAAGTGCAAATCGAAAGCAAAGACTTTGCAGAGTTTTTTTCCACAAACTTCCCTCCCTCTTCTTCTTTCACTTCTCCACTGCGTAAAACTCTGGATACATTAGGTCTTCTGAAAAAGAAAGTCTCACATCAGAAGTGCTTGACTGACTGAACTCTCAAACATGTCTCACTAATTTAGAGGATCATCATTTAGCCTGGAGAAATAGTTTGTTGCTTTATAAGAAAGCCCTCCGCAAAGCCAGAACATCTT